GGGGTCTTCCCCCTACCACAAAGGGGGTGGGGCTAGAGTTCAAGCCCCGCCCCTAACCAAGCTTCACCACTGGATCTCCAGAAGGGGGAAGGGGTGTGGCCGGAAAAGCAAGTCCCACCCTCTTATCCCACCACCACCATGTGAGGAATGGGTGTGGCCAACAGACCCCGCCCCGCCCTCTCACCCCCTCATCTCCCAGGTGCGGATGGGGGTGTGGCCAGGAAGGCAAGCCCCGCCCCCTCTGTGTTCACCTCCACCAGCCCCTGCAGGATGCGGACGAAGATGACGCAGCCGTAGTGCACGCGGGCAGCGGAAGGGATCAGCATGTTCAGGGTCGAGGTGGCCACGATGGCGAAGCCAAACACCCTGTGGGGGAGGGGGAGGTGGCACTGGCTCACCGTTGGGGCAGTACGGCTGGGTGGCCCCCGGATGGCCTGGGGCTGCTCCCTCGCTGCCCTCGAGGGCCCGGCCTGCACGCAGCTTGCTACGGTGTTCGCACGTGTGTGCTCACTATTGTGTTTGTCTGCTCACTGGTGCGTGGCACGTGCATGGCTCACTGTTGGGGTGGCACCGTTGCTGCTTGCTGGCATTTGACTACTGTGTTTGCACACTCCTTGGGCAGTAGTTGATTTCTGTGCTTGCTGGTGCATTCAAGTACTCACTGCACACTAGTGCACTGCACACTCACTGCTCACTATATTATTTGCACACCCATTTGTGTCTGCATACTTGTTGCTCATGACCATACAGCATGCTTGCTACTCATTCTTGTGTTTGCACTCACATTGTTCACTAATGCATTGGATGGTGAGTCCTCGCTCCTGAGCGTAACATACCTTCACCAATCACTAGTGTTTGCATGCTTGCTGCTCACCCCTGCATTGCATGGGCACTAGTGACAGAGCATTGTGTTTGCACTATCATTGTTCTCTATTTCTGCCATTGCTGGTCATGGCTACGGCTGCCTTGTCCCTGATCACCACATCCGCTCACGACTGCGTTTTGCCCACCTCCCACTTGCAGCATTGCTGACTCAGGGGCTGGGGACGGGGGGAGTGGTCCCTGGCTAAGGGCATGGGGAACGGCAGCGTCTGTCCGGGAGATTTCGGGAAGCAGCGAGGGATTAGCCCAGTTGGAAAGGGGCCAGGCCCTGAGGGAGGAGGAAGCAGCCAGGGGACTTGTAATGACTCTGAGATTTGATACCTGATCTGAAATGCACCCCCGCCCCGCTCTCTGCAGCCCCTGCCTACGCCACAGCCGGGCCCCCGCCCTGCCCCCTGCTGGGCCATCTATGTATCTGTTCTCACCTATTAGCAGCGAATTTCTGGGCGATGAACCCCCCAGGGATCTGGGTGACAATGTAGCCCCAGAAGAAGGAGCCGTGAATCATTCCAACCGTCTCAGGGTCCCAGGTGAACTGGGCTTTCTGGGGAGGAAAGAAACAGAGGAAACTCCCCGTGGCCCATTCCCTGCCCCCGAACCAGCCAATCCCTGGGCCGGGCGGGACCGGCGCCCCCTAGAGGAGATA